TATATTCTTATCTATGAAGTAACTATCACTTACATTCTTGTTTCCAAGAAGAAAAAAGTTCACTATCCCTACTGATGTAGTTGTATATTTAAAAGATTATATTAGTTTTAAAAATACTATCTTAGTTTCACCAACAGACTGTATTAATACCAGTAAAGAGAATTAGTCTGTCTTAAGAAATTATAAGAATTTTTCTACGGCCATTCTGGACTGTATAATTAGGTTTCAATCATAAAAATGGTGACTGTCTAAAAAGTATTTTACCTGACAGAGAAAGAAAAGCAAGTTACAGACATTACTATAGTAATGTATTATAAAACAGAGACACCAGTATTATAATACAGAGACACCAGTACCATCACAGCACACATAAAAAAGAAACAGCAAAAACTCTTATCATATAGATTCTTAAATAACCTTGGTTGGAAACCAGTACAGAAGTTCCTTCAAAAATTAAAAATAGAGCCAACACATGATCCATCATTTTCTCGGTAATATACAGGAAGGAAACAAAGACTATGTTGAAGAGACACCTGCATCCCTAGCTTATAGCAACACTGCTTGTAAGAATAGTTGAGACATAAAAAAAAAAAAACCTAAGGGTCCACTGAAGGGTGAATGAATACAGGTTATGATATGTATGTACAGATGCCTAAGACCCTGTACAGATACCAAAAAAATACACACATTACATATACCACACACACACACAGAGGGCTATTACTCAGCCATGCAAATGAAGGCAAGAACACAATTTTTATTACACACAAGGGCCATTAGGTTTAGTGAAACAAATTGTTCAGCGAGAGCAAATAGTTTGATTCATTTATGTGTGAATCAGAAACAAAAAAAACAAGAAACAAAAAGTATAAGACTAGAGATGGGGTAAATGAATGAATGTGGTCAACAGGTACAGGCTTCTAGTCGTATAAGTAAGTTTAGGAAATTATCATCGAAGTACATAAAAATATGCATGGGATATTCATTGAAACTCCAACATTAGAGCAGTCTTAGGGAAAAAAGTAAGTACTGGAGATATATGGCATAGACGAAAGTTGGCAAGTGACTAACTTCTAAAAGTTCTCACCACCAGGAATAAAACTCGTTTTCATAGCTAATGAGATGCTAAGATATTAAACTTACTGAGATAATCACAATAAATGCAAACCAAGTCATTATCTTATATCCAATAAAACTTTTGTTTTGCTCTGTGTCAATTATTCAATATAAAGGGTCCTAGGGGATAAACTAGAAAACAACAAAGAAATTCATGGGTTAATTTTTCTTTTTCTGAAACTGAATATATCAATTTTTTTTATGGATGGGTTATTTAATAAGCAGCATGCATTTAGAATTTCACTTCATAATTTATAAAGAACAACTTACATGAAATAAACATTTAATAGTTAACCATTTAATGCCAAAAAGAAAACACTTAAACCTGAAAATACTAATACAAAGACATTAAGAAAAAATACACAAAGAAAGGGAGATAGGGGAAGTTGGTGGACGGACAGAAGCCGTGAGTCACTGCTTCCGTCAGGGATCCTGAGGATAAGTGTCCAGAGGGAGCAGTGATATCTGGAAGCTGGGGGAAGTGAGGGTTGTTGTCTTAGCAAAGAGGGAAGCTGAAACCTAAGAAGGACTGAGAAACATGAGTCAAGAATGGTGTCAGTTCACTGGGAAGGATCCAAGTGCTGCCCCAACCATTCCCTACAACACCAGGTTCTCCCACAGCACCCGCCTGGGAAGGAGAGAGCACAGTTCACAGTGGCAGCACAGTCTGCCTGATGGTTCAATGCAAACCTAGGTGGCCAGAACTGGATTCAGCAGTGGGGCCATCCATGGTTGTCTCTGGGTTCACAGTATGAATCAGCCCTGGGGACCTGTGAAAGATTCCTATCTCTCCTCCCCGCCCCAACAGCTTGTACATCTTCTGGACCTAGAAAGAAACTGCAAGAGGCCACAATGAGGAGACATAACTTTTTCTGTGTGCAAGTTGGCAATTTAAGTTAAAGGTCTTAAAAATGTGCACATATTTCATTTCTCATGTCTACTTCCAGAACTCAAGTTGAGGAAATTATCAGAGAAATGTATAAAGATATATCACAGGGCTCTCCCTGGTGGTGCAATGAGTTAAAGCACCGCATTATGAAGCTCTCCAAAGCCACAGCAGCAGGAGTTAAATCCCTGGCCAGGAAGGTGACCCACATGGCATGGCAGACCTCTCCTGACCTGCCGGCTGCTCTCCTCAGCAGTGTATTTCAGTAGATCTGCCTGTCATGTTCCCCACTCTATCTCTGGTGAATCCTCTCACCCACCACATCCCTGGCCTATATCCCAGTTCTGTAAGCATAAATAAATCTATACAGAAAAAAAAATATATGCACAAAGATAAACACTGAAACCCCAACAGACTTAGGAAAAAAAAAAAAAAAAAGCAGACTTAGGAAAAAATGTCCGCCAACAGAGACTGAAGAATTAAAAAAGGGAATAGAATGGCCACTGTATTATTCACAGTTGTAAATAATACTGATATAAACTTACTGCTATGCTACACTGTTGAGTTTCAAGCAAGTCATACAACAGCCTGCCCTGTATGGTCTCTTTTCACGTATACAAAATGTATACTCACTTGGAATATCCATTCATCCATCTACACACCCACCACACTCCCTGTCTACTGTTTCATTAGACTTTCTGCTAAAATGGAAGTGCTAAGTAGTTATTTGGAGGATGGCAGAGCAAGAACATGGTAAGATCTTAAGTTCATAAAGGTACTGCAGGGACATACACCCTGGAACTGCTATGCGATTGCTTGTTACTTGAAACAATAAAATTTTGATGCAATTTAAGCTGGTTGTAATAAAACATTTTGTAACCTGAAGTCAAAGCATAAGCTAAAACATTATACTGAAGTAAAATGAAGATTTCAGTTTTGTGACTTACCTTAAACGGATATCTCCCAACTTCAGCCTCCAGCTCTTCTGGGGTAAAAATCTTGCCTATGAATCTTTTGGCATCATATATTGTGTTCTGAGGATTTGAATCTGCTAACTCTAAGCTTTCATACCCCACATAAACATCGTCATCAGTAAAAGACACCATGCTGGGTATGCTGATATGCCCGTTTTCATCTGGAATAACCTTTACTTTTCCTGTGCCAGGAAAAAACACCCCAACTGAACAGTAGGTGGTGCCAAGGTCAATGCCAATGACTTTAGGAGTAGGCAATGGCAAATATTGTTGTGCCAAATAACCAGCTAAAAGAAGAGTCAAAACAGCTGATCCTGAAATACAAGCAAATTAAAAGTTTGTTTTATCAAATTAGTACAATATGCCAAATTACAGCAAAGTCCCTTTCACACCATTTTTTGAAACAAGACTAAAAACACATTCTGAAAATATTTTCTTTTATAACAACAATGAAAACATTTTAGACATTGTTTTTATAATGTGATCAACAATTTGAAATGGCAAAAAACAGAAAATTCTATAGTTTTATGTTTGTGTACTTCATTTATGGTGAAAAAATAATAAGAAGTAAAATTATTTTAAGAAATAATTGTGCTGATGCTGAGAGAAAAGCCATTAATTCATCTGGAGAAATGGCTAGATTTAATTCAATTTTTTGATCACTTGGCATTTAGATTTTATTACTTAGAGGGCTTTTATTTTTATTTAAAAAGAACTTCATTAATAAATTCCCACAGCAAAATGTCTGTTTGTCAGGTTCCTTATCTCCTTTTTTCTTTCAAAAGTATGAAATGGACAATGATTTTGAAAGTTGTCACGCTATTCAATTTTATCACATATCATAGTTAACATTTTTGTATTTACATATGAACGAAGAACACAGGTCTTGCAGAGGAAACATTTAGGGAAGGAAAAGCACAAAAATGTAGAACTCATGACAACGTAAATGGAAGCTCTTAGAAAGTAGATTTTATTCTGTGTTGTATTCCTGAACGAGGCATATTTCCTACCAAACAGCAGATGCTCCTACAAATATTAACTGATGGGGGGGGGGGAAACAGTGAGTGAACTCTGCCACGCAGATTGTAAACATAAGTGATTAAGAAGTTTGTCACTTGGAATTAATTTATCAGATAATCGTTTTCAGGGGGCTATTAAACACCTGTGTCCATCCATGTTACATGACGCAAAAACGTTTCAACGGCAGGAGTCTGTCTTACTAATTGTTAGCTCATCCTTGTCAACAAATAACTCAAAGAAATTAAATCAAGAGGCACTCCACTTTCCTCTTTATCCTGCGTGCCAACTTCAAGAAGAATGCATCACCTTCTCTTTGGGGAGAGTAATTCCTACCCCGCATTGACCGAAAAGCCTTGGCTCTCTCAAAATCCGGTACCCCAGGAGTCTACTGGCCCTGACACTGCAGCCGCTCCTCTCTCTCCACAAAGGGGTCCTCGCGTTGCATGGGCTCTGAGTCTCCTAAAGGCCTCAATTCAACCAGTGACTCAAAACTGACGTTTTGTCGGAGGTCACCCTTTCCGAAGTCGTACGTTCCTACGATGTTCGCAGAGGGTAGCTGCTCGCCCTACCTAGACCTATGCCAGCTCCGGCGCTCCTAGAAGCGACCCCCGACCCGGCGTCCTAAACAATCAGAAACTGCTTCTAAGTCATCTTTACTGAGCCCTTTCATCTAGCCAACTGGATCCAAGAGGTGCGACAACCATTCCCGTCAATCCCGCCATTCCAAACCGCTCCGGCACCCACAACAGCGACTGGGACCCCCAATCACTGACCTAAGATCGTCATCTCTCCGGCCATCACAATCCTGCCGAAAAGGCTTGGGATGACTGTACCCGACGTGAGGCACCGCCCCCGCGCCGCCAGGCAGACCCGTGCGTCTCTGGGAAATGTAGTCCTTTTGCTTTGCTGTAGTCGGGGAATTATCTTGTCTGACCCGAGCCAGGACTTCATTTACCATGATATCGCGGGACTGCAAGTATCCATTCACGGCTGTCCGTGACGACTCAGACGCCCTCTTACGCAGCGTCTGCCGAACCAATTAGGCTGAGGGGGAAAAGGGCCAAGCAGAGCAACTGGAGTTCATAATCCGACCTAAAGCGCTGGGAGCCAACAAGAGGTAAAAACAATCTCTTAGCGCCGCCCACGCATTGCATTCTGGGAAGTGTAGTTCGGCCTTTCCTTCCGTGGAGGGAGAGTGAGGACCGTTAGGTCAGTGTTTATTTTATCTGGCACTAACCGGCCCCTGGTTCACGCCTTTTTCTTTTGGTCCTAACAGTACTTCGTAAAATATATTCCTAGAGTCCAGCCACCCACTCTCCCTTAGACGTTTCTCAGGTGAAGTGTGGACCAGAAGAGGCTGGGTTGGAGGTCCCTGGAATTTCGAAAAACTCCTCAGCCCTATGCTTTTGTTGAGAAATAAAAGAATGTCAAGAGTCTTTAGTCAGTGCGATCAACCCAGGACAGCAGTGACAATATTCGCTATTGCTAACACTGAAGTGGACCATTAAAAACAAAAAGAACAAAACACCTTAGTTCTCTTGTATTGACTGATAAATGGCAAGCGTTACTTTCAGGACAAGTCGCGTAATGTCGTTTTGGACGTTTGCGAAACGTTTTTGAGGATCTATTCGTTGTAAGTCCAATCTTGCTTGCTCTTTGGTCATTAATTGTACTCAGTGGTTCCTTCAGCGGGTATTTTGTTTGTTGATTGCTGTTAAAATTCATGAGAACTGAGATCCTGGACAAATGAAGTACTTCCTCACCTTAGATACAAATAATTCCTGCTGACGATAGCCTGCTGGGGGAGTAAACTGTCGCTCTTTTGGTCTTTTCTAGCTGATTTAAAAATATATTTGAAAATGCTGATTGTTACTGAAGTTGAATTATGATTAATGGGCTTAATTGTAATTTTCTCTCAACTTTTGTATTTTCTCAGAATTTTTCATAAAGATAAAAACTATCTATAGTGAGTGCTCTTCAGTACAGTTCCTTATTTCCGATGCTATTCAAACACTCAATTCATGAATTTTATTATGTATGTGTTCATTTTAACAAATATTTATTGAGCACTTACTATGTGCTAACCATGGTGGTAGCCACTGGTAATATCCAGGAGAAACAGAGGCAAACATAGAAAGATAACTTATTATAATATAGACCATAATTGCAGTATAGACACAAGACAGAAACTATTGAATAAACAGTTAAGGTTCTGCCTTGAAGAGAAAGCTTAAAGGAAGAAAATAAGTTTAAACAGCATTTTGAAGAATAAAATGGAGTCAGTAGGGTGAATTATGGGGTAGTATAAAATAGTGGACTGGAGGAGTTTCAGGAAGAGGGAACTGAATTACCAAGAGCATCAATCTCTAGATTAGAGCAGCTGCTTCATAAAGCATGAAGTAGAAATCTGAAAGACAGGATTAAAGAGGCAAACAAATCAAGAGGATTAGTCATTTGGTTCAGGAAGTACTGATTGCAGTTTTCTCTGCTGGCACTGGTTATTGCCTTTCAATGTGCCATTCACCCATCCCTCCTTGCTAATAGGATCCTGATTTGTTCAAGAAGTAGATACAGATTACAGGATCTCAAAGTGGACAGCTTTAACCAAGGGAAGGAATTAAATGGCAACTAAACAGTTTGTGTGAGTTTTCTATTTTCTGCCTTAACAAATTAGCACAAATTTATTGTCTTTAAACAACACAAATTGTCTTATAAATTCTTTAGGTCACAAATCTGGAGCAGCTCTCTCTGGACTAAATCAAGGCTTGGGGAACTGATTCCTGCAATTTGAGTTGCTGGTGGGATTTAATTTCCTTGATTGTTCAGGTCAAGATCCCCATTTTCTTGATAGTTGTAACTGATGGCCCTTGCTAGCTACTAGAAATCATCCTGAACCAAGGCTCAGGGACTCTTTTGTCTTCAAAGCCAGCAACCATGGGTCAGTTCTTCTCAAAAGACATACTCACTTATATGTTTGTTTGTTTGTTTTAATATTTACTTACTATTTGGCCCTTTTTATTTTCTATTTTGTAGATACTTCTTATGAATACCCATATCAAAGCTCTTAATTATTTGTCATAGTGTTTTTCCCCATGATACCATTTGTTTTCTATTTTCTTTATGCCATACTTTGTCATGTTGAAGCTTTAAATTTTTATAGTCAACTCTCTTCTTTTATGGCTTCTAGGGTTTGTGTCTCATGCTTAAACAGAACTTCACAAACTAAGATTTGAGTAGTATTCTCACATTTTATTCTTAAATATTTTAATATTCAAATTCTAAAAGTTAGAAGTTAGCAAATGTTTTATATGTGTAATCTTGATTTCCCACTATTTTCCAATCTCTTTCCTACATATACAAGTAATTTTTTAAAATAGTATTTACTGAGTAAATTATACTTTTCCAGCTGGTTTGCAAAGCTTTATTTCCCATGTACAGATTTTTTTTAAAGATTTATTTAATTACCCATACAGAACTGGGGTACAGGCCAGAGATGCGGAGGGTGAGAGGATTCACCAGAGACAGAGTGGGGAGCAGAACAGGCAGATTGACGAAGTACACTGCTGAGGGGAGCAGCGGGCGGACCAGGAGAGGTCTGCCACGCCATGTGGTCTCCTCAGGGGCAGGCAGGGATCGAACTCATGCGGAAGTGGTTTAAGATTCTTTGTGCTGTGCTTTAATCCGCTGTGCCACCAGGGAGGGCCAATGTACAGAATTTTTATATGCACATGGGTCTTTCCCTTAACTACTGTGTTTCATTAATCTGATGATCTAGGTCAGCTGCATACTGTTTTAATCACTGGAGCTTTATTGACATACTTATATCTGAGTGGACAAATGCATACTTATTCTTCATTCCTGTAATTTCCTGTTTTCATTGACTTGTTTTTCCACATGGAATTAATTATCAACTTAGTTTTCACATGGATTTATGAATCAACTTAATTCTCTTTCCTACAAAATAATCCTATTAGTGTTTTTCTAAAAAAGATTTATTTTTTATTTTATGCACCTAAGAACTGGGGTGTAAGTGTAGGTGGGGGGGATGAGAATATTTACCAGAGACAAATTGGGGAGCAGAACAGGTAGGTCTATTGAAATACACTGCTGAGGGGAGCAACAGGTGAGACCAGAGAGATCTGCAGCATCATGTGGGTCAGCTTTCTGTCTGGGGATTGAATTTATGCCACAGTGAAGAGTATAACTTGAAAGCACTGAGACTTTAACCCCTGAACCAGCAGGGAGGCCCCCATTAGGATTTTTATTAACTAATTCTATTTTTTTTTGAGAGGTATTATCTTCACTTGTGATTTCCTATGTAAGACCAATCTTTATGCATTTGTTTTCCAGAAGTCAAGGTTTGTATACCAAAGTCAATTGCTTTTCTATATAATTAACAAGTGGAATTTGAGATTGAAAATACTATACCATTTATATTAACATATGAAGTAGGAAATACTTTGATATAAATCTAATAAGGTAGGGAACTTATATTATCAATGTCAAGACTTATAGTAAGACTATAATAAAGACAATGTGGTATTGTTAAAACAAACTAACAAACATACAAAACAAACAAATGGATCAATGGAACAGAATAATTAGCTTAGAAAAATGCCCAAATAAATTTAATCAACTAATCTGTGATACAAGAGTAATATCAATGTAAAACAGGGTTATAGCAGTGTTCAGAACTATCAAAGGACAGTGCCATAGTAGAGTACTAGTCACTGCCGATGGATTCTCACCCATCCTTTCAGTTGCAGACTGAGGGGAACAACATGGGGTTTGCTTAGCAACAGGGAAAACAGAGTTTCTAAGAGCTCAATTGGCCAACTCTCTTACCCCAGTTAAGTGTTCACAGTGTTCAGAAGTCCTAAGCAAATGGCTGATTATGAAGATGGCACTGTCCTGTCAATAAGGGCCTCTAGATGTACTTGCTAGTATTGAGGCATAGGTAAAGCAGCACATTCCACTGCTTAACCATCAAGAAAGAGCTGGTTTTGTTCTGTGTGTGTGCCATGGAGATCCTGGTACAGGCTAGTCTTTGCACTGAAACAGCTCAACATCCATGCAAAAAATTAATCTAGACATAAGCCTTATATTAAGCCTTATCCATGCAAAAAATTAATCTAAACATAAGCCTTATATTTTAACCTTAAATACAGCATAGTCCTAAATGTAAAATAGAAAACTATAAAACATCTAGAAGATATCACAGTATAAACTTAGGTGACTAAAGCTTATGATAAAAATTAATTTATAAGATGAACTTCATTAAAACTAAGAGCTGTTTTATGAACGACAACCCCAAGAGAATTAGAAGAGAAGGCACAGACTAGGAGAAAATATTTACAAAATACACACGTGAGGCAAAAAATGTTATTCAAAATATACAAAGCACTCTTAAAACTTAACAATAAGAAAACAATGATGTTAACAAAGGGGCCAAAACCCTCAATAGACAGGTCAACAAGGAAAACATGCAGATGCCAGATAATATAAGAAGATGCTTCATATCATAGGTCATCAGGAAAATGCACATTAAAATAACCATTAGATGCCACTACACAACTATTAGAACGGTCCAAATCAGGAACACCAATTGTTAAAAGGAGAGGATGTACTGAAGGAACTCTACAGAGTTTTGTGGAATCCACCCTCTACTCCAGTTATTGAAACTACAGCTCCCAGCAATACCATGGAGAGAATTGTGAGGACCCAAGGGTAGAGCTAAGCAGGCATTCTGGTACTTTTGTGGCTTTATAAGGGAGCCATGTTAGCAATGCTCTCTTTATGGACCGTGAGGCTGGTTGCTGGTCATTTGGCCCTTGATC